CGCCGCGACGCCCGCCGCGCGGCGCGCCGCGGCGGCGGCCGGCGCGCTGCCGTCCGACCTGGACGGCGGTGGCAAGAGCGCCATGACGGGCTTTTTCCAGGAGGCGTCTCGCAACGACCTGCTGTCCGCTGAACAGGAGAAGGACCTGTACTTGTTGGTGCAGCAGCACCTCAAGTATGAGGAGCTTGGCCGCGAGCTCACCGAGCGCCTGGGCGGCCGCACGCCTACCGACGAGGAGTGGGCCGAGGCCGCCGGCGCGACGGGCCCCGAGTCGTTCCGCGCGGCGCGGCAGGCGGCGGCGGCGGCGAAGCAGCTGATGGTGCGCGCCAACATGCGGCTGGTGGTGTCGGTCTGCAAGAAGTACCAGAACCTCGGGATGTGCATGAGCGACCTGGTGTCTGAGGGCATCGCGGGCCTCGTGAAGGGCGTGGAGAAGTTTGACGGGTCAAAGGGCTTCAAGTTCAGCACGTACGCCCACTGGTGGATCCGCCAGGGCGTCACGCGCGCGCTGACCGACCAGGGGCGGCTCGTCAGGTGGGCGCTTGGGCCGTGCCGCCGCGGCTGAGGGAGGCCGCCGCCGGGGGCGCAGTGCCGGTGGACTGCAGGGGCTGAGGCATTCAGGGGGCCGGCTCTCGCGCGCCCGGAGGGGGCCGCGCCTGAGCAAACCGCCTCGGCGGCCGCGCCCACCTCGCCGCTTGTTTGCCAGCGAGCCCCATCGGACGAGCCGCCTCGCCGCCTGCCGACGGCGCCCAACCTCTCCCCCCTTTTTGCTCCACCCGGTCTCACACCCCTGGCCTTTCTCAATCCCCAAACCTTCAACGCTCCCACGTTCTCAACCCCTTGCTCCCCCAGGCTGCCGGTGCACATGCAGGAGCTGCTGAGCCGCGCCCAGCGCACCTCGAAGGAGATGGAGGCGCAGCTGATGCGCAAGCCGACGCGAGCTGAGGTGGCGCAGCAGATGGGCGTCGAGGTGGAGAAGCTGGACGAGACCTACCAGTACCTGCAGGTGTGTGTTTGTGTTTGTGTGTGGGTGATTGTGGGGGGGGGGGGGCGCTTGTGCAGATGCGCGTGCGCGCGCATGCATGTGTGGGGAGCCCCGGGCAGCTGCACGCCGCCAGCGCACGCCAGGTCCTGTTGTTCAAAGCAGAGCTGCAGCGACCTCGTTCGGCGCCGCTGCTTCTGATACCTTTGCGGCCTCCTCGATGTTCTCTGTTCTGCACATCCCTGCACTCAAACACACGCACGCACGCGCACCGTCATCTTTTCTCCGTCAGGCTGTCCGCAGCCTGGAGGGCGCCGTCGGCGGCGACGCGGAGGGCGCAACCCTGGGGGACACGGTGGAGGACGAGTCAGCGCTGGACGCTGACGAGGCGTCCCTGATGGCCGGCCTGCGCGACGACATGGCGCGCCTGCTGGAGCGCCTGCCCGCGCGCGAGGCGGCGGTCATGCGGATGCGGTACGGGCTGGAGGGGGAGGCGTACACGCTGGACGACATCGGGCGGATCCTGAAGGTGGGCCCGATGGCGGCGCGTGGCCGGGCTGCGGCGCGGGGCGGGGCCAATGCAGGATGGAGTGCGATGTGGTCCTTTTTGGGGGTGCGGCGCGTCCGCAAAGTGCCGCGTGCGTGGGCGCGCAAGGTGGAGTGGCGCAGCGTGTGTGGTGAGGAGAGTGGTATGCGATTCACGGGCATCGTGAGCGCCCGGCGTTCCGCCTGTCCCCACCCACCACGCGGCAGCTAGCAAACAGCGTCCCCCGCCCCGCACACTCTCCCCCCCCCAGATCACGCGTGAGCGCGTGCGCCAGATCGAGGCCAAGGCGCTGCGCGCGCTGCGCTCTGACATGGGCACCATGGAGGGTTCCATGGGCGAGTACAGCGACGCCAGCTTCGGCGACGAGCGGCTCGCGGCGCGCACGTCCAGCGGTACCAAGAAGACGTGATGAACGCGTGCGCACGACGCCGACGCTGCCTGGGGCCGCGCTGCGCAGCGCTTGGCTCGCGCGCGCCTGGGGCCGCGCGGGCTGCCCCCGCGCGCGCCCCCCCCCCCTCTGGGGCCGCTTGTGGCCCCCCGGCCCGCGCGGTCGCCGCAGCTGCGGCGGCGCCCCCTGTTTTTGTACCATCCCCGGCCCAATTGATGGCCCCGCGGCGCGCTCGCCCCCTCTTCCGAGGGCCCGCCGCGCCGCCGCGCCCCTTGACTCGTTGACGTCCCCTTTTGGGCCCTGCACCGGCCGCCAGAGTCCCCTGTGCTTGCCTTTGCCCAGCCTTTCTGCGCCTCCGTCCAGGAGCTGCCAGCAGCGGTGGAGCGCCCACAACGGCAGCGCCCTCAGCCTCCCCGGCGGTTGCAGGCCCGTGCAACCGCAGGCCTGCGCGAGGGGCGGCCCGCGCGGACCAGTGTCG